TTTCTCTAGACTCACCCGTTAGCTCCGGCGGATCCTCAACTTTCTCTAGACCCACCTGTTAGACCCTGCATATGCTCAACTTTCTCTAGACCCATCCGTTAGACCCTGCATATGCTCAACTTTCTCTAGACCCATCCGTTAGACCCTGCATATGTTCAACTTTCTCTAGACCCATCCGTTAGACCCTGCATATGCTCAACTTTCTCTAGACCCACCCGTTAGACCCTGTAGATCCTCAACTTTCTCTAGACCCACCCGTTAGACCCTGCATATGCTCAACTTTATCTAGACCCACCCGTTAGCTCCGGCGGATCCTCAACTTTCTCTAGACCCACCCGTTAGACCCTGCATATGCTCAACTTTCTCTAGACCCACCCGTTAGACTCTGCATATGCTCAACTTTCTCTAGACCCACCCATTAGACCCTGCATATGCTCAACTTTCTCTAGACCCACCCGTTAGACCCTGCATATGCTCAACTTTCTCTAGACCCACCCGTTAGACCCTGCATATGCTCAACTTTCTCTAGACCCACCCGTTAGACCCTGCATATGCTCAACTTTCTCTAGACCCATCCGTTAGACCCTGCATATGCTCAACTTTCTCTAGACCCACCCGTTAGACCCTGCATATGCTCAACTTTCTCTAGACCCACCCGTTAGACCCTGCATATGCTCAACTTTCTCTAGACCCACCCGTTAGACCCTGCATATGCTCAACTTTCTCTAGACCCACCCGTTAGACCGTGCATATGCTCAACTTTCTCTAGACCCACCCGTTTAAACCTGCATATGCATATGCTCAACTTTCTCTAGACCCACCCACCCGTTAGACCCTGCATATGCTCAACTTTCTCTAGACCCACCCGTTAGACCCTGCATATGCTCAACTTTCTCTAGACCCACCCGTTAAACCCTGCATATGCTCAACTTTCTCTAGACCCACCCGTTAGACCCTGCATATGCTCAACTTTCTCTAGACCCACCCGTTAGACCCTGCATATGCTTAACTTTTCCTGGACCCATCCGATGGACCCGGCAGATTCTCACCTTTCTCTTGACCCACAAATTTATTCCAGCAGATACTAAACTTTGTCTGCACCCACCCCTGATAGACCCGAAATGTATTCAACTTTCTCTGAACCCACCTGACAGATTCGCCAGGTTTTCATCTTTCTCATAGACTGTGCCTAGGTGTTGCCTACATCGGATAGATCTGTCAGATCCTCACCTGTCTCATAGACTGTGCCTGGGTGTTGCCTACATCTGATAGATCTGTCAGATCCTCACCTGTCTCATAGACTGTTGCCTACATCTGATAGATCTGTCAGATCCTCACCTGTCTATTAGACTGTGCCTGGGTGTTGCCTACATCTGATAGATCTGTCAGATCCTCACCTGTCTCATAGACTGTGCCTGGGTCTTGTCTACATCTGATAGATCTGTCAGATCCTCACCTGTCTCATAGACTGTGCCTGTGTGTTGCCTACATCTGATAGATCTGTCAGATCCTCACCTGTCTCATAGACTGTGCCTGTGTGTTGACTACATCTGATCGATCTGTCAGATCCTCGCCTGTCTCATAGACTGTGCCTGGGTCTTGTCTACATCTGATAGATCTGTCAGATCCTCGCATGTCTCATAGACTGTGCCTGGGTCTTGTCTACATCTGATAGATCTGTCAGATCCTCACCTGTCTCATAGACTGTGCCTAGGTGTTGCCTACATCGGATAGATCTGTCAGATCCTCACCTGTCTCATAGACTGTGCCTGGGTCTTGTCTACATCTGATAGATCTGTCAGATCCTCACCTGTCTCATAGACTGTGCCTGTGTGTTGCCTACATCTGATAGATCTGTCAGATCCTCACCTGTCTCATAGACTGTGCCTGTGTGTTGCCTACATCTGATAGATCTGTCAGATCCTCACCTGTCTCATAGACTGTGCCTGTGTGTTGCCTACATCTGATAGATCTGTCAGATCCTCACCTGTCTCATAGACTGTGCCTGTGTGTTGACTACACCTGATCGATCTGTCAGATCCTCGCCTGTCTCATAGACTGTGCCTGGGTCTTGTCTACATCTGATAGATCTGTCAGATCCTCGCCTGTCTCATAGACTGTGCCTGTGTGTTGCCTACATCTGATAGATCTGTCAGATCCTCGCCTGTCTCATAGACTGTGCCTGTGTGTTGACTACATCTGACAGATCCGTCAGATCCTCGTCTGTCTCATAGACTGTGCCTGGGTCTTGTCTACATCTGACATCAGTTTCTGGCATATATTGATAGCTCTACAATTCCTTTTGTGTGGGAATCATCTACCCACTACTAACTATGTACAGTCTAACCCCATTAACACGAACCAGCTTAAAGCGAACACTGGGTTAACACGGACACAATGTTTGTCCCTGCAGCGATGTTATTCCTAATTCTTCTATTAGTTCCTCCGCTTAGCACGAATTTGTTAAAGACGAACTTTTGATTTGTAGTCCCTTCTAATTGGTGTGAACCAGGTTTGACTGTATATTGTAGATGGAACAGCTTTCACACAATAAACACATCTCTGCAGCGCAGAGGGGCAGCCCCTTTAGCGTGAGGTTTGTAAGTTCTTTTACAATCAGTATGCGTGGTTCATGGACTTTACACAACGTCTGTGAACTTAACAGTTCCTAGGCAACTAGTGTGATCATAGAGTTCCTACACAACTTCTGTGACCTTAAGAGTTCCTACACAACTTCTGTGACCTTAAGAGTTCCTACACAACTTCTGTGACCTTAAGAGTTCCTACAAGCTTGTGTGTTCTTAGTCTCCACCCAACTTCTGTGATCTAGAGTTTCTTCACTATTTGTGTGATCTAGAGTTTCTACACTATTTGTGTGATCTAGAGTTTCTACACTATTTGTGTGATCTAGAGTTTCTACACAATTTGTGTGATCTAGAGTTTATACACTATTTGTGTGATCTAGAGTTTCTACACAATTTGTGTGATCTTAGAGTTTATACACAACTTCTGTGATCTAGAGTTTCTACACTATTTGTGTGATCTTAGAGTTTTTACACAACTTCTGTGATCTAGAGTTTCTTCACTATTTGTATGATCTTAGAGTTTCTACACAACTTCTGTGATCTAGAGTTTCTTCACTATTTGTGTGATCTTAGAGTTTCTACACGACTTGTATACACACACACACACACACACACACACATATATATATATATATATATATATATATATATATATATATATATATATATATATATATATATATATATATATATATATATATATATATATATGCGGAAAGTATAATGAAACAAGTTTTGTTTTCTTTTTCCATGGATAACACGGCTCATTGCCCACAGTCTTTGAAAATCTCGACTCTATAACAAACAACAATGGAGACTCAAACAAAGGGTGGCCATACCAATATCAAGATTAAACAGCATAAAAAGTTTGTGGTTAAGCGCCAGCAAGGAAATCAAAGTCAACATTGTTGAGAGCATGCATCTTTCCCTGTAGCAACATAGGGACGGACGTGGTGGACGACGTCCTAGACGGACGTGGTGGACGACGTCCTAGACGGACGTGGTGGACGACGTCCTAGACGGACGTGGTGGACGACGTCCTAGTCTTTCAGTTCAGTAAAAAAAACATGGCGTATTTTTAGCATAAATCCTAAAGAAAGATTCTCAGAATATCATGGACCAAAAAAAAAAAAAAAGAGAAAATATACTGACATCCTAAAGATTGGAATTGCCGTATGAAAGATAAAAGCTTGGAGGGGCCGAATGTAAGACTGGCCTCGGTGCCCAATTTGCAATCCTTTGCAAATAAAGTCCGTTCGTTTGTTCGAACGTTAAAGCAAATTAGCTGGTAGAAGAAATAGTTTGATCACTCGCGCCGACTGGATGGGACAGAAGCGTGAGACATGGCGGCAGGTCTGATCAGTGAGACATGGCGGCAGGTCTGATCAGGGAGACATGGCGGCAGGTCTGATCAGGGAGACATGGCGGCAGGTCTGATCAGGGAGACATGGCGGCAGGTCTGATCAGGGAGACATGGCGGCAGGTCTGATCAGGGAGACATGGCGGCAGGTCTGATCAGGGAGACATGGCGGCAGGTCTGATCAGGGAGACATGGCGGCAGGTCTGATCAGGGAGACATGGCGGCAGGTCTGATCAGGGAGACATGGCGGCAGGTCTGATCAGGGAGACATGGCGGCAGGTCTGATCAGGGAGACATGGCGGCAGGTCTGATCAGGGAGACATGGCGGCAGGTCTGATCAGGGAGACATGGCGGCAGGTCTGATCAGGGAGACATGGCGGCAGGTCTGATCAGGGAGACATGGCGGCAGGTCTAATCAGGGAGACATGGCGGCAGGTCTGATCAGGGAGACATGGTGGCAGGTCTGATCAGGGAGACATGGCGGCAGGTCTGATCAGGGAGACATGGCGGCGGGTCTGATCAGGGAGACATGGCGGCAGGTCTGATCAGGGAGACATGGCGGCAGGCGGCAAGAGCGCCAGAAATCAAAAAGCAGGAAGATGCGCAGAGGACATGGGCGAGATCTTGGGCAGAAAACTGTTTCAGGTGTCAGGTCTGATGAGGGAGTCAGGCGGCAGGTCTGATCAGGGAGTCAGGCGGCAGGTCTGATGAGGGAGTCAGGCGGCAGGTCTGATCAGGGAGTCAGCTGGCAGGTCTGATGAGGGAGTCAGGCGGCTTGATGGCAGTCATATTTTTTTTTTTAAGTATCCAGAAGTCATGAGCTGGTAACCGTTAGACTTGGTACTATGGATATCGCAACCCTTCGGCCTTGATTCCAAGATCGATACCGTCAGTCTGGGAGAAATGTGGCTTTTTCTGCCTAAACCCTGGCGTGAACCCGGACCACAAGGAGGTCGCTGCGAAGTCAGGTTTAGCCAACTACGCTAGCGATATCATGTAAATGACCTGCTGCCTGATGATACATTCCTATATGACCATATCTTGTCTGTGTGTACATGTTCTTCTGTCAACAGAAGTTGTACATGTTCTTCTGTCAACAGAAGTTGTACATGTTCTTCTGTCAACAGAAGTTGTACATGTTCTTCTGTCACCAGAAGTTGTACATGTTCTTCTGTCACCAGAAGTTGTACATGTTCTTCTGTCACCAGAAGTTGTACATGTTCTTCTGTCACCAGAAGTTGTACATGTTCTTCTGTCAACAGAAGTTGTACATGTTCTTCTGTCAACAGAAGTTGTACATGTTCTTCTGTCAACAGAAGTTGTACATGTTCTTCTGTCAACAGAAATTGTACATGTTCTTCTGTCAACAGAAGTTGTACATGTTCTTCTGTCGACAGAATTTGTACATGTTCTTCTGTCAACAGAAGTTGTACATGTTCTTCTGTCACCAGAAGTTGTACATGTTCTTCTGTCAACAGAAGTTGTACATGTTCTTCTGTCACCAGAAGTTGTACATGTTCTTCTGTCACTAGAAGTTGTACATGTTCTTCTGTCAACAGAAGTTGTACATGTTCTTCTGTCAACAGAAGTTGTACATGTTCTTCTGTCAACAGAAGTTGTACATGTTCTTCTGTCAACAGAAGTTGTACATGTTCTTCTGTCAACAGAAGTTGTACATGTTCTTCTGTCAACAGAAGTTGTACATGTTCTTCTGTCAACAGAAGTTGTACATGTTCTTCTGTCAACAGAAGTTGTACATGTTCTTCTGTCAACAGAAGTTGTAATTGTATTCTGTCAACAGAAGTTGTAATGTCTTCTGTCAACAGAAGTTGTAATTGTATTCTGTCACCAGAAATTGTATTCTGTCACCAGAAATTGTAATTGTATTCTGTCACCAGAAATTATATTCTGTCACCAGAAATTGTAATTGTATTCTGTCACCAGAAATTATATTCTGTCACCAGAAATTGTAATTGTATTCTGTCACCAGAAATTGTAATTGTATTCTGTCACCAGAAATTGTATTCTGTCACCAGAAATTATATTCTGTCACCAGAAATTGTAATTGTATTCTGTCACCAGAAATTATAATTGTATTCTGTCACCAGAAATTATATTCTGTCACCAGAAATTGTAATTGTATTCTGTCAGCAAAAATTGTATTCTGTCACCAGAAATTCTATTTTGTCACCAGAAATTGTCTGTCTATATGTTTTTATGCTACTATCTTCAAATATGATCTGTATGTGTATATTATTCAGCCACCCCAGCTGGTCTGTATGTATATATTTGTGATCACTACAGTTTGTCTGTCCTTATATTTTCTAGCATAACAAACTGTCTGTCTGTATATAATCTTGTATTTGTTGTCTGTATGTACATGTCATAAGTTGAAGGTCTATCTGTTTATATTCTTGTATCACAAGCTGTCTGTCTGTTTGTAGTCTTGTGTGGCAACCATTCTGTCTGTTTATATTCCTATATCACAATTATCTCTCTGTATGTACATTTTGTATTGCATGTTGTCTGCCTGTATATGTTCTTTTATGTTGTAAAAAAAAGTTGCCTGTCTGGATACAAAATCGTGTGTAACAAGTTGACTGTCTATATAAATAATCCTGTATGATAAGTTGTATGTCTATATAATCGTGTATCAAGTAGTCTGTATGTATATAGCCGTGTATCACACGTTGTCTTATAAAATCGTGTATAGCAAGTTGTCTGTCTGTGTATATAGCCGTGTATCACAAGTTGTCTTATAAAATCCGTGTATAGCAAGTTGTCTGTCTGTGTATATAGCCGTGTATCACAAGTTGTCTTATATAATATTGTATAACAAGCTGTCTGTCTGTGTATATAGCCGTGTATCACAAGCTGTCTTATATAATCGTGTATAGCAAGTTGTCTGTCTCAGTATATAGCCGTGTATCACAAGTTGTCTTATATAAACGTGTATAGCAAGTTGTCTGTCTCAGTATATAGCCGTGTATCACAAGTTGTCTTATATAATCGTGTATAACAAGTTGTCTGTCTCTGTATATAGCCGTGTATCACAAGTTGTCTTATATAATCATGTATAGCAAGTTGTCTGTCTCAGTATATAGCCGTGGATCACAAGTTGTCTTATATAATCGTCTATGGCAAGTTGTCTGTCTCAGTATATAGCCGTGTATTACAAGTTGTCTTATATAATCGTCTATAGCAAGTTGTCTGTCTCTGTATATAGCCGTGTATCACAAGTTGTCCTATATAATCGTGTATAGCAAGTTGTCTGTCTCTGTATATAGCCGTGTATCACAAGTTGTCTTATATAATCTTCTATAGCAAGTTGTCTGTCTGTGTAAATAGCCGTGTATAACAAGTTGTCTGTATAAAGCCGTGCATAGCAAGTTATCTGTCTGTGTATATAGCCGTGTATCACAAGTTGTCTTATATAATTGTCTATAGCAAGTTGTCTGTCTCTGTATATAGCCGTGTATAACAAGTTGTCTGTATATAGCCGTGCATAGCAAGTTGTCTGTCTGTGTATATATCCGTGTATCACAAGTTGTCTTATATAATCGTCTATAGCAAGTTGTCTGTCTCTGTATATAGCCGTGTATCACAAGTTGTCTGTATATAGCCGTGTATAGCAAGTTGTCTGTCTGTGTATATAGCCGTGTATCACAAGTTGTCTTATATAATCGTCTATAGCAAGTTGTCTGTCTGTGTATATAGCCGTGTATCGCAAGTTGTCTTATCGTCTATAGAAAATTGTCTGTCTGTGTAAATAGCCGTGTATAACAAGTTGTCTGTATATAGCTGTGTATAGCAAGTTGTCTGTCTCTGTATATAGCCGTGTATCGCAAGTTATCTTATATAATCGCGTATAGCAAGTTGTCTGTGTTGTAAAACTGTCTGTGTATATAGCCGTGTATACAAGTTGTCTTTCTGTGTATATAGCCGTGTATAGCAAGTTGTCTGTCTGTGTAAATAGCCGTGTATAACAAGTTGTATGTATATAGCCGTGTATAGCAAGTTGTCTGTATATAGCCGTGTATAGCAAGTTGTCTGTCTGTGTATATAGCCGTGTATCACAAGTTGTCTGTATAAAGCCGTGTATCACAAGTTGTCTGTATATAGCCGTGTATAGCAAGTTGTCTGTATATAGCCGTGAATCACAAGTTGTCTTATATAATCGTCTATGGCAAGTTGTCTGTCTCAGTATATAGCCGTGTATTACAAGTTGTCTTGTCTAATCGTCTATAGCAAGTTGTCTGTCTGTATATAGCCGTGTATCACAAGCCGTATATAATCGTCTATAGCAAGTCTGTCTGTATATAGCGTGTATCACAAGTTGTGTCTATAGCAAGTTGTCTGTCTCTGTATATAGCCGTGTATCACAAGCTGTCTTATATAATCGTGTATAGCATGTTGTCTGTCTCAGTATATATCGCTATATAATAGCAAGTTGTCTGTCTAGCCGTGTATCACAAGTTGTCTTATATAATCTTCTATAGCAATTGTCTGTCGTGTAAAAAGCCGTGTATAACAAGTTGTCTGTATATAGCCGTGTATAGCAAGTTATCTGTCTGTGTATATAGCCGTGTATCACAAGTTGTCAATTGTCTATTGTCTGTCTCTGTATATAGCCGTGTATAACAAGTTGTCTGTATATAGCCGTGCATAGCAAGTTGTCTGTCTGTGTATATATCCGTGTATCACAAGTTGTCTACTATATAATCCGTCTATAGCAAGTTGTCTGTCTCTGTATATAGCCGTGTATCACAAGTTGTCTGTATATAGCCGTGTATAGCAAGTTGTCTGTCTGTGTATATACCGTGTATCACAAGTTGTATATATATCGTCTATAGCAAAGTTGTCTGTCTGTGTATATAGCCGTGTATCGCAAGTTGTCTTATCGTCTATAGAAAATTGCCTGTCTGTGTATCAGTGTATAACAAGTTGTCTGTATATAGCTGTGTATAGCAAGTTGTCTGTCTCTGTATATAGCCGTGTATCGCAAGTTATCTTATATAATCGCGTATAGCAAGTTGTCTGTGTATATAGCCGTGTAAAACAAGTTGTCTGTATATAGCCGTGTATAGCAAGTTGTCTTTCTGTGTATATAGCCGTGTATAGCAAGTTGTCTGTCTGTGTAAATAGCCGTGTATAACAAGTTGTCTGTATATAGCCGTGTATAGCAAGTTGTCTGTATATAGCCGTGTATAGCAAGTTGTCTGTCTGTGTATATAGCCGTGTATCACAAGTTGTCTGTATAAAGCCGTGTATCACAAGTTGTCTGTATATAGCCGTGTATAGCAAGTTGTCTGTATATAGCCGTGTATCACAAGTTGTCTGTATATAGCCGTGTATAACAAGTTGTCTGTATATAGCCGTGTATAGCAAGTTGTCTGTCTGTGTATATAGCCGTGTATAGCAAGTTGTCTGTCTGTGTAAATAGCCGTGTATAACAAGTTGTCTGTCTGTGTACATAGCCGTGTATAGCTAGTTGTCTGTCTGTATATAGCCGTCTATAGTAAGTTGTCCGTATATAGCCGTGTATCACAAGCTGTCAAGTGTTTGTAGGTCCGTGCATCTTCTCTAACGATATCCGGAAGTTTCTCCAATAGTACACTCTTTCGTTTTATTTTTCTCCAGGGCCAAGTTGGAAACAAGTGGGGACAGAGCATCACCTTGCTTTCAACCAGATATTTGAAACAGGTCTGACTTTCCGCCTTGATATAAAACTATTTTATAAGTGTATTTCATACATAGTCTAGTCATGGGGATTATCTTAAGTGGTGTTCCAACGTCCTTTTCAGAATTCCATAAACTATTGCTTTGTACACTATCATACGTTGTTTCAAAATCCACATAAACATTGTAAATATATATGTATCTACTATACTCCCAAAATTGTTCTGCTAATTGCTGTAAAATGAATATTTGATATATTGTTGATCTGTTCTGTCGGAAACCCGCTTGCTAATCATCCAATATGTTTTCGACGTATGGTTTAGCCTGTTTAACAGTACCGCCGATAGTATCTCATAGCTTGAAGATAATAGTGATATTCCTCTATAATTTTCACATTTATGCTGTCGCATTTCTTTTAAAAGAAGTCATTGATAATGCCATCTTCCACTCGTGGGGTAATTTCTCCGTGCAGCTGAAGACACAATAAGACAAGTATGCATGCTAGAGAACATTGGGCGAGGAGAGGAGTGGGTCAGACAACTAGAGCAAAAGTCTGACCTATTGAGGGGTTATGAGCCTGCTGGGCCGGGAGTGCAGAGAGTGGCCAGCGGGTGTTGCGAGAGTTAGAAGTCCAACAGTTGATACACGACAATTCACGACCAGGTGATCTGATTATCTATACAGATGGTTCGGTGTTGAGAGGAAAGAGAAGTGCCTGGGCGTTCCTAGCGAAAGCCAATAGAAAATCTTTAGTGCAAGACAGCCTAGCATATAACACCACAACATCTAGCATGAGAATGGAGGTGGAAGCGGCAACTCCAGCTCTCCGGTGCCTAGAGAACAAGATCCATAC